GGCACTCTCGGGCACTCTAAGGCACTCTTGGGCTCTTGACATCTGCGGGCACTCTGGGCCTCTGGACGCTCTAAGACGCTCTAAGGCACTCTTGGGCACTCTCTGGGCGCTCTAAGGCACTCTAAGACATCTAAGGCGCTCTCAGGCGCTCAGACGCTCTGGGCACTCTAAGGGCACTCTAAAAGGCTCAAGGGCACTCTAAAAGACACTCTAAAGGGCACTCTCAGGGCCTCTAGGGCACTCTAAGGCGCTCCAGGGCTCAGGGCACTCTAAGGTGCTCTAAAGGCACTCTAAGGCACTCCTAAGGCACTCTTGGGCACTCTCTCCAGACGCTCTGGGCACTCTCAGGCACTCTGCGGGGCGCTCTAAAGCCTCTGGGCACTCTCAGGGCACTCTAAAGGCACTCTCCAGGCACTCTAAGGCACTCTCAGGCACTCTGGTGCTCTAAGGCACTCTTGGGCACTCTCAGGGCACTCTGGGCCGCTCTGGGCTCTGGAGCGCTCTTGGGCCGCTCTAAGGCGCTCTAAGACACTCGGGCACTCTCCAGACGCTCTTGGGCACTCTCAGGGCCTCCTACTACTGGGCACTCTGGGGCACTCTATAGGGCCTCCTAAAGGCACTCTAAGACGCTCTAAGGCGCTCTTGGGCTCTTGGGCCTCAGGGGCACTCTGGGCGCTCTAAGGGCACTCTCAGGGCACTCTTGGGCCACTCTCAGGCACTCTAAGACGCTCTAAGAGCGCTCTGGGCACTCTTGGGCACTCTTGGGCACTCTCAGGCACTCTAAGGCACTCTGAGCGCTCTCCAGGCACTCTGGGCACTCTGGGCACTCTAAGCACTGGGCACTCTCCCAGGCACTCTGCTCCAGGCTCAGAGCACTCTGGGCACTCTGAGCACTCTCAGGCACTCTTGGGCGCTCTCGGGCACTCTCCAGGCACTCTGCAGGCGCTCTGGGCACTCTGGGCACTCTTGGGGCACGCTCTGGGCACTCTAAGGCACTCTAAGGCACTCTCCAGGCACTCTAAGGCACTCTAAGGCACTCTGCGGGCACTCTAAGGAGCGCTCTAAAGGCACTCTTGGGCCGCTCTCAGGGCACTCTAGGAGCGCTCTGGGCACTCTAAGGGCACTCCTAAAGGCACTCTGGAGCACTCTTGGGCACTCTCGGAGCACTCCTCAGGCACTCCTAGGCTCTGGGCCTCCTGGGCACTCTGGGGCGCTCTAAAAGGCACTCTGGGCCATCTAAAACGCTCTGGAGCACTCTGGGGCACTCTAGAGCACTCTTGGGCACTCTAAGGCACTCTCAGGTGTCTAAAGGAGCATCTAAAGGCACTCCTAAGAGCACTCTGGGCACTCTGGGCACTCTGGGGCACTCCTGGGCCTCTAAGGCACTCCTAAGGGCACTCTAAGACTTGCTCTAAGGTGCTCCTAGGGCCACTCTAAAAGGCACTCTCTGAGCTGCTCTTGGAGCACTCCTCAGACACTCCTAGGGCATCTCAGGTGCTCTAAGACGCTCACACTCTAAGACTGCTCTTGGGCACTCTCAGGGCTCTAAAGGCACTCTAAGGCACTCTAAGGAGCACTCTAAGGCTTGCTCTAAGGCACTCCTAAGGCACTCTGAGCACTCTAAGGCACTCTAAGGCACTCTGGGCACTCTGGAGGCATCTTGGGCGCTCTCCATTCAGGGCACTCTGGAGCACTCTGACACTCCTCTGAGCACTCTAAAGGCACTCTAAGGCACTCTAAGGCACTCTAAGGGCGCTCTTGGGCACTCTGAGCACTCTAAGAGCACTCCCTAAGGCACTCTAAGGCACTCTTGGGCACTCTCAGAGCACTCTAAGGCACTCTAAGGCACTCTAAGGAGCATCTGGGCACTCTAGGGCGCTCTTGGGCACTCTCAGGCTCCTGGGCACTCTAAGGCAGCACTCTACTGGGCATCTCTCAGGGCACTCTGGGCACTCTGGGGCACTCTTGGGCACTCTAAAAGGCACTCTTCCAGGCACTCTCAGGCCGCCTATAAGGCACTCTAAGGCACTCTAAAACGCTCATGCTCTAAGAGCACTCTGGGCACTCAGGCACTCTCGGGCACTCTAAAACTCTCAGACTCCTAAGAGCACTCTTGGGCACTCTAAAAGACGCTCTGCACACATGAGCACTCTAAAACATCTCTGAGCACTCTAAAGCACTCTAAGAGCACTCTGGAGCACTCTAAGAGCACTCTAAAACGCTCTAGGCACTCTTGGGCACTCTAAGGCACTCTGAGCACTCTCCAGGCACTCCCTAAGAGCACTCTCCAGGCACTCTACAGGCACTCTTGAGCTGCTCTAAAGGGCACTCTGCACTCTTGGGCACTCTAAAAGGCACTCTCCAGGCATAAAGGCACTCTAAAGGCACTCTAAGGCACTCTAAGGCACTCTAAGGCGCTCTTGGGCACTCTAAGGCACTCTAGGGCACTCTGGGCACTCTGGGGCACTCTAAGGGCACTCTCTGGGCTCCTGGGCACTCTGGGCTCTAAGGCGCTCTTGGGGCATCTTGGGCACTCTCGGGCACTCTGAGGCGCTCTGGAGCACTCTGAGCACTCTGGAGCACTCTCTGCGGGCACTCTGGGCACTCTAAAAGACACTCTGGTGCTCTGGGCACTCTACAGGCGCTCTAAGGCCTCTGAGCGCTCTCCAGGCACTCTACGGGCACTCTAAGGCCGCTCCTAAGACGCTCTAGGAGCACTCTAAGGGCACTCTTGGGCCGCTCTCAGGGCGCTCTCAAAGACGCTCTAAGGCACTCTAAGGAGCGCTCCTAAGGGCACTCTAAAGGCCTCTTGGGCACTCTCAGACACTCTAAGGCACTCTAAGGCACTCTCAAGGCACTCTGGGCACTCTCAGGCACTCCTAAGGCACTCTACAAGGCACTCCTAAAACTTTCCAGGCACTCTCAGAGCACTCTCAGGCACTCTAAGGCACTCTACAGGCACTCTTGAGGCACTCTCAGGCACTCTCAGGGCACTCTCCAGGCACTCTGCGACATCTGGGCACTCTAAAAAGGCACTCTAAGGCCACTCTAAAGAGCATCTTGGGCATGCTCTCAGGCACTCTCCAGGCACTCTCAGGCACTCTAAGGCACTCTAAGGCACTCACACACACAGAGCACTCTAAGGCACTCTTGGGCACTCTCAGGGCACTCTCCAGGCGCTCTAAAGGCCTCTCTGGGCACTCTGAGCCTCTTGGGCACTCCTAAAGGCACTCTTGGGCACTCTCCAGGCACTCAAGGCACTCTCAGGGCACTCTCAGGGCACTCTAAGGGCACTCCTAAAGGGCTCAGGCACTCCTCAGGGCACTCTCCAGGCACTCTCAGGCATCGGCCTCCTAAGGCACTCCTACAAAACTCTTGGGCACTCCTCAGGCACTCTCAGGCACTCTAAGGCACTCTAAGAGCACTCTAAGAGCGCTGTGGGCACTCTGGGCTCTTGGGCACTCTCAGGCACTCTGCAGGCACTCTCCAGGCACTCTCGGGCACTCTGGGCGCTCTAAGGCATAAGGCACTCTCAGGCACTCTCCAAGGCACTCTCCAGGCACTCTCAGGCACTCAGGCACTCTAAGGCACTCTAAGGCACTCTAAGGCACTCTCAGGCTGCTCTCCAGGCTGCTCTCAGGCACTCTCCAGGCACTCTATAAGGCACTCTAAGGCACTCTAAAGGAGCGCTCTAAGGCACTCTAAGGCCTCTTGGGCACTCTCGGGCCTCCTAAGGGCACTCTAAGGGCACTCTTTGGGCACTCTAAGGCACTCTTGGGCACTCTCAGGCACTCTCAGGCACTCCTAGGCACTCTGAGCACTCTAAGGCACTCTTGGGCACTCTAAAAAGGCACTCTTGGGCACTCTCAAAGGCACTCTCAGGCACTCTCAGGCACTCTAAGGCACTCTGGGCACTCTGGGCACTCTGCAGGCACTCTCCAGGCACTCTCCCAGGCACTCTCAGGCACTCTCCAGGCACTCCTAAGGCACCCTAAGGCACTCTAAGGCACTCTTGGGCACTCTCAGGCACTCTCTCCAGGCACTCTCAGGCACTCTCAGACGCTCTAAGGCACTCTAAGGCACTCTAAGGCTGCTCTTGCTCTGAGCCTAAGGCACTCTAAGGCACTCTAAGGGCACTCTCAGGCACTTGCTCTCAGGCACTCTCAGGCCGCTCCTAAAGGAGCACTCTCAGGCACTCTTGGGGCACTCTCAGGGCACTCTCAGGCACTCTAAGGAGCACTCTGGGCACTCTAAGGCACTCTAAGGGCACTCTAAGGCACTCTAAGGCATAAGGCACTCTCAGGCACTCTCAGGCACTCTCAGGCACTCTCCAGGCACTCTAAGGCACTCCTAAGGCACTCTAAGGCACTCTGAGCACTCTCCAGGCACTCTCGGGCACTCTAAGGCGCTCTAAGGCACTCTCAAGGCACTCTAAGGCACTCTTGGGCACTCTCCAGGCACTCTCCAGGCACTCTCAGGCACTCTCCAGACACTCTCTCCAGGCACTCTCTAAGGCACTCTAAGGCGCTCTCTCAGGCACTCTAAGGGCACTCTAAGGCACTCTAAGGGCGCTCTTGGGCACTCTCAGGGCACTCTCAGGGCCGCTCCTAAGGGCACTCCTAAGGGCACTCTAAGGAGGGCGCTCCTAAGGCACTCCTCAGGCACTCCAGAACTCTCAGGCACTCTCAGGCACTCTAAGGCACTCCTGGTGCTCTAAGGCACTCCTAAGAGCACTCTTGGGCACTCTCAGGCACTCTACAGAGCACTCTGAGCACTCTGGGCATCTGAGCACTCTCAGGCACTCTCCCGGGCACTCAAGGCACTCCTGGGCACTCCTGGGCACTCTGGGCACTCTTGGGCACTCAGGCACTCTCCAGAGCACTCTAAGGCACTCTTGGGCACTCTCCAGGGCACTCTGGGGCACTCTGAGGGCACTCTCCAGGCACTCTAAAGGCACTCTGGGAAGGCACTCCCTAAGGCACTCTGGGCACTCTCCAGGCATGTCTTGGGCACTCCTAAGGCACTCTGGGCACTCTAAGGCACTCTCAGGCACTCTCCAGGCACTCTCCAGGCACTCTAAAGGCACTCTCGGAGCACTCTAAGGCACTCTAAGGGCACTCTTGAGGCACTCTCAGGCACTCTCAGGCACTCTAAGAGCACTCTAAAAGGCACTCTGGAGCACTCTGAGGCACTCTAGGCACTCTTGGGCACTCTCAGGCACTCTCAGGCACTCTAAGGCACTCTTGAGCACTCTAGGCACTCTAAAACACTCCTAGGCACTCTGGTGCTGGGCACTCAGGCACTCTAAAAGAGCACTCTAAAAGAGCACTCTAAGGCTCCAGGCACTCTTGGGCACTCTCCCAGGCACTCTCAGGGCACTCTACAAAGGCACTCTTGGGCACTCTCCAGGCACTCTGGGCACTCAGGCACTCTCAGGCACTCAGGCACTCTAAGGCACTCTAAGGCACTCCTAAGGCCTCTCGGCGCTCTTGGGCACTCCTGGGGCGCTCCCTGGGCGCTCTAAGGGCACTCCCAGGGACTCTGGGCACTCCTCCAGGCCTCCTAGGGGCACTCTCCGGCACTCTAAGGCACTCTCAGGCACTCTGGGCACTCTCCAGGCTCTCAGGCACTCTGGAGCACTCTAAGGTGCTCTAAGGCACTCTCCAGGTGCTCAAAAACTGCTCTTGGGCACTCTAAGGCACTCTTGAGGCACTCTCGGGCACTCTGGGCACTCCTGGGCACTCTGGGCACTCTGGGCACTCTCCGGGCACTCTTGGGCACTCTAAGGCACTCTGGGCACTCTCAGGAACCTGGGCACTCTCCAGGCACTCTAAGGCACTCTCAGGCACTCTCCAGGCACTCAGGGCACTCTGGTGCTCTAAGGCACTCTCCAGGCACTCTAAGGCACTTTCTTGGGCACTCTCAGGCGCTCTAAGGGGCACTCTCCAGGCGCTCCCTACTCACAGGGGCACTCTAAGGCACTCTCCAGGCACTCTAAAGGCACTCTTCTGGGCACTCTCCTAGGCACTCTCAAACTCTCAGGCACTCTAAGGCACTCTCCAGGCACTCTAAGGCACTCTACACAAAAGGCACTCTCAGGCACTCTGGGCACTCTCAGGCACTCTAAGAGCACTCTCAGAGCACTCTCTCAGGCACTCTCAGAGCACTCTAAAAGGTACTCTAAAACACTCTCAGAGCACTCTAAGAGCACTCTTAGGCACTCTCCAAACTGCTCTAAAACACTCTACAGGCACTCTAGGCACTCTGAGCACTCTCTGAGCACTCTTGGGCCTCAGAGCACTCTAAAAGAGCACTCTAAAAACTCCCTAAAAGAGCACTCTCCCAGGAACTCAGGCACTCTCAAGCACTCTAAAGGCACTCTCAGGCACTCTAAGGCACTCTCAGGCACTCTAAGGCACTCTCAGGGGCTCTCAAGGCACTCCAGCACTCTCACGGGCACTCTCCAGGCACTCTCCAGGCACTCAGGCACTCTCAAGGCACTCTAAGGCACTCTCCAGGCACTCTCCAGAGCACACTCTAAGGCACTCTGGGCACTCTCAGGGCACTCTAGGCACTCTCCAGGAACTCTCCAGGCACTCTCAGGCACTCTAAGAGCACTCTCCAGGCACTCTAAAGGCACTCAGGAACTCTCCAGGCACTCTCAGGCACTCTCCAGGCACTCTAAAGGCACTCTTGGGCACTCTCAGGCACTCTAAGGCACTCTAAAGGCACTCTCCAGGCACTCTTGGCACTCTCAGGCACT